AAGAAGAAGAAGCTTTTCCCCAAAGGGGATCTCATTACAAGCCTTTCCGGAGCTGTTGTGTTTAGCTTATTTTACCTCATTGAGCTGTTTGTAGTGGAAAAAGTGACCGAAAACAAGTAGATCTGTGTAGGACCACCAGTACTAAAATATGGTGCCCAAAATTAACCGTGATGCTACTAGTAATAATTTTTGGTGTTTGAATAGAATGCCTTTCTGCCCTGTAGGACGTGGTAGGGTTCATACGGTTAACGCATTTTACTCCGATTAAACTCGTACACTTTTTGCAGTGATATGCAGTAAAAATGAAATTGAAAAAATCCCTTGCGTTAAAATTTTCTTCTTCCCGCCACAGATGGAATAGGATCTTTTCGTCATGACGCGCGCGTTGCACACCCCTCTAAATTTATGACCCCTGCTACCAGGTACACATGACTGTTGGGATCTCGTAGGTTACCATACGTGGAAACAAGCTGTTTCAGAGGTCCCAGAGCGATTTTGCAACTAAACAGGACCCTTCCGAATCAGCATTTTTACCGCGCGTTTCGCGCAACAATTTGGTAACCAGGATATTCGAATGATTGGTCACCAGGCGTGCAGTGCTACTGAACAGTAGGACATTATTAATATCAAGCAGGACTGGACCAATGCCAGGTATATTAATTTTAAATGTTGTATATATCTATATATAATGCGACCAACTCCGACCGTTGACTTTAATTCCCACCAAATTTTTAGAGACCCCGGAGAGACCTTGAGAATCCTTACAGAGTTTGTGCAAGACAGCTACCATAATTTCTGGTAGCTTCCTGGTAGCTTTCCAGTAGCTTCCTGGTAAGTTTCTGGTAGGATTCTGGTAGCTTCTTTATGGTCGTACCGTCCGGTAGGACACGAGCTGATGACCGGTCCTGCGCGCCTGCAATCCATGATTGAAAATTTGATGGTCTTCACTCGTAAAAGCTGAGCTGCTCTATTTTGCATTAATCTTTCGATACGGCAAGCAGCAGCATCACTCACAATGGCAAGGAATGCAACAAAGAAGGGATCAAAGCAGCTAGATCAGGAGAAACATCCCGAGCTAGTGTATGAAAGATTAGAGCTGTCAAAGCGCATTGCTTGTTATAACTTTTGGCTCTTTTTGTACACAGAAGGAGAAGAAGGCTGGTCTCCTACAGACAAGCCCGGATCTATCTGGAAGTATCGAAGCTCAAACTACATTAGGCAAAGTATCAAGGAATCTAGTTGGGCAAAGATTGGAAAGGTAAGCTTGCTGCTGTTGCTGTCGTCGCTGTCGATGTGGTTGCTGTTGCTGTCGCTGTCGATGTGGTTGCGCGGCTCTCACCGGTCTGTCATCTTGTTGTTGTTGTTCTTAATGACAGGCTATGGCCACACTTGCACAAGACCTAGAGAAGAGAGGAATCAAGCTTGTAGACCCTTTGAGAGATCACAGACAGCGTCAACAGCAACGGCAGCTCAACGAATCATCAGAAGCAGAGTCCATTGCGTCCTCTTAACAACAATGCCCAAAAACAAGGCTGTCCGAATTGCAAGCCCTGGTGGTGGTGAAGAGGAAGAAATAGTTTCTAGCCTCAGGAAACTATCTTTCAAAGGCCCTGTCCAAACTATTAGCGGAGCAACCCCATACCCCATGCTCTCCGGTCGATGGGAGGTATTTGATTACAGAGCAAAGGTATTAAACGGCTTCTGTCTGATGAGGATGCTCCTTCACAGTGGGACAAAGGAAACAGACTATTCCATTGAATGGATTGACTCAAGAACTTTGAAGCTCAAGCTCAAATGGCCCATCTTCATGCAGAATGCTCTCTTTATGACTGGATTGGATACCTACGCGGACGCTAAAGGCAATCTTCTGGAGACTTATCATGATAAACACCCGGTCTACACTTCCATGGGGAAGAACTCAAGTGACTTGGAAGAGGAGGATGGCTTCATCTATTCAGAAGGCTTGTTTCGATTCCAGAAGCCTATGGATTGCTCTGATGACAAGTACAAGGCAGATGTCTTTGAATGCCCAGTCGATGCAAATGGAAACAAAGGAACTATCCTGTAGATTCTATTCCTTGAGAAGAAGAAGGATGACAAGAAGCCTTTTGCATCCCCTGTTGCCATTAAGCAATCAAGTATCAGATTTAGTAAGTCACCTCAACAGCAGGCCCTTGATGAGCAGCTTGCTCGGCAACAACAACTTGAAGCAAGGATTGAGCAACAGAAAAAGCTCCAAGCGGAGCTTCTAGAGCAGCAGCGTCTGGCCCAGCAGAGGGAGGAGCTTGAGCGCCAGCAGCTCTATCGGGAGCAGGAGCTCACACCTAGTAGTAATAAGAGACAAAGAACTAACACTTCCTTTGCTTCTCCGCACCAGCCTAATCCTCCAGACGAATGACTACTAGTCGATGAGCAGCTGCTCTCTGCCAGAATGCTGGTGAGCAGTGAGGAGGATTCATTTCATTCAACTGATTCATTGATCAAGTCCTGTATTAAGGACCCAATCATTGCCTTCCAAGAAGCCAAAGGACACTTAGACAATCTTGAGCAGTATTTCAAGCACTGGCAGGAAGGATAGGCGTTGAAGTAGTAGTAGTAATTATGAATAGTACGTACAAGACGCTAGTAATAGTAGTAATTAGTAATTACACGAGTCACGGGACAAGGGGGATCTCCTACTACGTGGGCCTCTTCTTAACTCTTATTGGCGATCCCTCTTAACTATCCCTGGAACAGTTCCAGCTGGCTCGATTGAATTTCCAAAGGCTCAGAAAGAGTATACCAGCTGTTAAGTCAGTTTTTAGGGGATTGCTCCTGTCCATTACTACTGCTCGTTGGATCTACTCCTTCTTGTCAGGGACTATCGATGGTCTTAAAGTGCTTTTCTACTAGCCTATTAGAAGTATCCAACTTCGTAATCCAATCCATCTTCAAATGTAGTTTCACCATTGGCAAACTTGAGCTGCGTAATTTCAGCAACAGCATTGAAACACATTCCATGCTTCTTTAGCATTCCTGCCCTGTTTGGTTTCATGTGCCTGAAATGAGTAGTTAGAACATTGAATATCTTGAGTCGACCATTCACAGTTTCATGCTGTGCTCGCGCATTAGATTTCATCTTCCTTTGTTTGCTGGTCATCCCCATATCTGGAAGCTTCATCTTATCGTCTCCCCTATAGCCCCTATCAACTTCAACTCCTTCCTCGTCATGAAGCAGTTGACTCAGTCCTTCCTTGAATATAGTTGCATCACTTGCGCTTCCAATGAAAGGACCATTAATCCAAACAATCCATCCAGTCTTTAAGCAGACCCCTACCTCATACTTGACAGCTGGTCCATTTAACTTGTGGGAATACATGCCTCTCGAAAATGGCCATGGTTCAAATACTGGGCAATCTGTTCCATCTACACTCATAAAGCAGGTGACGTGAACTTCTTCATCTAAACCATTGAACCTATTATCAAGACTAATCACCTCATCTTTGAGCTCAGCAATTCTTTGGACAAAATACCAGGACCACTTTGCAAACGTTTTCGCACAGGGCCATCCAGCTATAGCACAGTGGACTTCAGTTGTCGAATAGATCTTTAGATGAATTAGAGCCCACAAGAGATGTTTTGGTTCTCCCCCAGAATCGATAGGAGGTCCATCAATTATCCTGTTCCAAACATCTGTTACTACACTGATAGGAGCTCCAAAGCATGCTCTGAATCTTCTATCTTTATCTCGCGAATTCCATTGTCTTCTTTCTGGCCATCGAAGCACTTCTCTTGCTGCTGCTTCAATGGTGTCGGTTGTTACTACTATTGTCATGGAATACGACACGCTAAACCAAACGAAAGCCAAACTAATCAGACCAAAACAAAACTTCTACTGGGTCCTTTGCTACAGTTCAAGCGGTCTTAAATCGACAATGGAAGAGATCTATCGATTGATACCAAGTACAGTGTAAAAGGTTGAGTGTAAGTGCTGAAAATACACTAATTCCCATGGTCGGTTGCTTGAACCGAGTAGTTTTCTTTAGAATGAAAAGAACTGTTCTAAAGCGTGCTGGATCAGCGTGCTGGATCAGTGTGCTGGAGGTAGGTAAAGGTCACGACAGTGGGCCTCAGTACAATTTTGTACCCGGAGACAAAACCCTTCTATTTTGACCAAAATGGCAAGGCAAGTACCTTGATCCACGATTTTCTACAGGATTTTCTACACAGCTTTGTACTAGGATCCATCCAGATAGATCAATTTTGCTCCTCCTTGAGCAGGACTGCTGCTACTACGTAGTGTACCACTGCCTAGTACTAGTAACAAGTACCGCGGGACCCACCAGTAGTACTAGCGCGCTGGCAAGACGCATGATGTCTAAGTAATATCTGAAGGAAAGTTTTCTCGCAACCCTCAAGCTACCATCAATCTACCAGAAAGTAGCCAGGACTCTACCAGAAAGTTACCAGAAAGTTACCAGAAAGTTACCAGAAATTCTGGTAGCTTGGTGGTAGATTGATGGTAACTTCTTGATGGTTGCGAGAAAAAAATCCCTCAGATATTACTACTAGTACTAGTTGGGATTAAACTCAACGGTCAGAGTTGGTCACATTATATATAGATATATTCAACATTTAAAATAAATATACCTGGCATTGGTCCAGTCCCGCCAGTCCCGCCAGTCCCGCTTGATATTAATAATGTCCAACTGTTCAGTAGCATGCCTGACCAACATACAAATATCCTGGTTACCAATTGTTGCGCGAAACGCGCGGTAAAAATGCTGATTCGGAAGGGTCCAGAGCCCTTGCAAAAAATTTTCCCGGGTCCCGGAAGAGTACTTGGTACACTACTGCCGTACTGTATTGTACAGTACGAAGTACTTCTACCAAATACCGTAAAAATAACTGGCTCAACAAAAAATAATGAAGTGCAAAGTACGGTACTGTACTGGACGGTACAGTACTTTACTGTACGTCGTACAATGGACAATCGAAGATAACCAGTTGGGCCTTTTCGGGTTATCATTTTTACATTTCCTTTTATTTTACGTTAAAGAGCGTTAGGGACATCCAATGACTATCATGGTCATAATATTATTCTTTCACTGCACGTAAATGTGACTTCTGGTTCTGAGAGCCGTTCTCAAAGATACTTCGGTACCTCACGGTAAATCATTTTACTCCACATCTGTTGTTGTTAAAAATGCGTATTCGAATTCGAATACTGTAGGTACTCGTACTATGCTCGATTCTTCACATTCAGTTATTGACAATTGACAAGAGGTCCAAGGGATTTCTTGTGTTCTCTGAAAGTTGGGATAAATAGGGTAAATAGGCAAGATAATAACCTCTTTCCAAAAATTGCATCGATTCTTTCACTTTTATCAAAATCTTCGGTCTGCAGATTTACCTATCGACGAAACATTCTTCTGTTTGTTTTAAACTAGAATGTCTTCCAGTTCGCCAACGAAAAATTTTAGCAATCCAGCTGCTAGTTTCGAGTCTCAACCTCATTCCCCTCGTAGCATATTTGAGAACTCAGTTGTTAGAACAGAGGAGGATGCTGGTGTCATAGCGGAGGATGAGGTCAACTGTCAAACAAAATCGAAAAGCCTTGTTCCAAAAGTTATCATTCCTTGCGGCCATGATGGCTACGAGAAAAGTAGATCGAGCGTCGGAGAGAAGGATATTGTACTTGGACGAAGGTACGCTGTAGAAATGTCGAAGATGCTTTGAAGACAGATTGGTGTATGATTTTGACTCGAAATTCACTCATTTCGTTTCCATTAATTTTCCCTCCTATTGTCGTGGACAGTGATTCAGTCCAGAATCGATCTGAGGACAATCGTTTTCGACGCATTGTCAATTTGTATAGGGATGAATACATTTCTTCCAATTCCGTAGAACGTGCTACGATAGTCTCGAAAGTAATTGCGCTGCTTGAGAAAGATAGTTATTCCTTCCTGAGATCTGGTTCCTTACGCACTCCATTTTCAAACCGCAATTCTTCCTACCCATCCTCATTGTGTGAYGGGTATGGTATTAATGAGGGTGACAGTAACGGCGGATTGGAGAGTGGAATGTTCATGGATGGTCAAATTAGGCAAATGGTGAGTACTTCATTCTCGAGGCTTGGTCGTCGGCGTTCTCGCAATGATTCCTCCGAATTCAAAGACGCAATAAGACAACAGCAACGGCAAATGATCGATGCAACTCTGAATCGCACCCCCAATACTCTGAAAAACCCAGCACCTTTAGCAACGAAAGACAAAGTTTCATATTTGAAGGCTTCGACGCTCGGTGCCAACCAAAGCATTGCGCCACAGCAACAAGATGGTCCACAGGACGAATTGGTGCCTCCTCTTCGGGCATCCCGGGCGCCGGCACACTCTGAAACGAAACTTGCTGCGGATAAGGTACAAAAAGTTCGACCTTTCTCTTCAGCACACGAAAGCTGTCTCTTGCAGGAGTGTCAACCCAAGGTTCCAGCACCACGGCAGTGTGGTGGTGAATTGCGCGAGGATGGATTGCTATGGTCCAGTGGTTCTAGGACGCTATCCCTCCTTGAGGGCATGGACAGCACCCTCGTTCCGACGACGTCTTATTCTTTGCTACCCACGATCGAAGAAAACGTTTTTGGAACAAAGGCTCGCGCGGGACCAAATTCGGGATGCAGCGACGACGGTACCGGGCGGATGGAATTCGAGACGATTGGATACACCCACCAAAAGGTTGGCGAGTTGACAATCGTGCGTCCCATACTTTTGCTTCCGGGGGTTGTCGGAGGCGCTTCTTCCCCTGCCGTCAAGAACGAAACGAACGCAGGATAGACACAACCGAAGAACAAGAACATCTCACGTTGGCAATTCTGATGCCTTCTCCACCTCGAACCTGTTGGTACTTAGCGACAAGGTGCACCCCGATGGATTGGATGAGAATCCTCATGCAATGGATGATGTAAACTCTGTTGTATCATCACCTACCATGTTGTTCCCCAGCCAATAGGAATGAATACTTCATAATACTTATAAAACTTTCATACCAAGGTATCGCTTCTCGTGCCTTCTCAGTCGTGAACCTACTGGTACCAAACGACAGTGAGTACAATCCTGGAGAGAACGATATAAGTCAAATATTTGGTGTCTTCATCGCCGCCTACCGTAAGGTTCCGTAGCAAATAGAATTAAATGGTTATCAGTANTACTACCAGCATTAGAATTTTTGAGTACACTGTCTAGCCCAGTTTTTCATGAGGATTCTGAATATGCCAATATTTTATCAGTGTCAAATGGAATGATAGCAGTGTACCTTTTCACTGTTCAATATTGACTAGATTATTATTGTTATTACTAGTAGTAKAAATTACTACTGGAGAATTAGTGGGAGATAGGGATGAAGGATAGACAGTTCAAATTTTTGTTGAGGGCTAGTAGACTGGTGGGACTGAATGGACAAAGGACAGACTATTTCAACTGTAAATACAGTACTAGTATGTGATACTAGTTTGTTACTACTACTAGTAGTAGTACTAGCACCCACCAGCCCTGTGTCAGCAYCTTAATGTTTAAACTGCAGACAGCAATGGCAGTGAAAATATACTTAGTACTACTTGCTGCCTCTCAACTACTATGTGAGAGATGTGCATGTGAAGAAGTTTGAAAATTAGAGAKTGATTAGTAGAAGTGTTCCTGTGCATGGGGTCTTTCAGGTACGCGTTTAACTTGAGTAAAATTACACCTAGAATTAAAGCAGGAATTTTGGCCCACTACTACTGTAACTTCTGAATGCTACTAGTAGTTCTAAGCCGCCACCAGAGCATCCTTAAGAAGCATCCCAATGACCTGGATCACTAGTAAGTAATTGTATTATCTTGGTCTGGGCGCTTCTTAGTCTGGTGCTCTAAAGTTGTTTTTTGATAGAGTTCTGGCCTATTTTCTAACTAGCAGGCGCTCTTGTAAACCAGCCAATTTTGGCCATTGCGGGTGTTAGTGGAGAATATGTTCATTGTTCAACAGTAAAATAGTACCACAAACATAAATTTAAAATCCAACAAAATGGTATATTCAGAATCAGCATAAAAAACTGGACTAGACTGGCTACTCAAAAATTATAATAGTAGTATTTTTGATAGAGCTGTAACTGCTTAAAGGTTGGATAGTTTTACTAGTATTATGCAGTAAAAATGAGAATGAAAAAAAATCCTGGGGGGACTTTTTGGAAATTTGGATCACACGTGGAATATGGGTTTCGACTCGTTGCGCGCCCCTCTAAATTTATGACCCCTGCCTGCTACCAGGTACACATGACTGTTGGGATCTTGTAGGTTACCGTACGTGGAAACAAGCTGTTTCAGAGGTCCCAGAGCGATTTTGCAACTAAACAGAGCCCTTGCAAAAAATTTTCCCGGGTCCCGGAAGAGTACTTGGTACACTACTGCCGTACTGTATTGTACAGTACGAAGTACTTCTACCAAATAGTACGGTACTGTACTGGACGGTACAGTACTTTACTGTACGTCGTACAATGGACAATCGAAGATAACCAGTTGGGCCTTTTCGGGTTATCATTTTTACATTTCCTTTTATTTTACGTTAAAGAGCGTTAGGGACATCCAATGACTATCATGGTCATAATATTATTCTTTCACTGCACGTAAATGTGACTTCTGGTTCTGAGAGCCGTTCTCAATGATACTTCGGTACCTCACGGTAAATCATTTTACTCCACATCTGTTGTTGTTAAAAATGCGTATTCGAATTCGAATACTGTAGGTACTCGTACTATGCTCGATTCTTCACATTCAGTTATTGACAATTGACAAGAGGTYCAAGGGATTTCTTGTGTTCTCTGAAAGTTGGGATAAATAGGGTAAATAGGCAAGATAATAACCTCTTTCCAAAAATTGCATCGATTCTTTCACTTTTATCAAAATCTTCGGTCTGCAGATTTACCTATCGACGAAACATTCTTCTGTTTGTTTTAAACTAGAATGTCTTCCAGTTCGCCAACGAAAAATTTTAGCAATCCAGCTGCTAGTTTCGAGTCTCAACCTCATTCCCCTCGTAGCATATTTGAGAACTCAGTTGTTAGAACAGAGGAGGATGCTGGTGTCATAGCGGARGATGAGGTCAACTGTCAAACAAAATCGAAAAGCCTTGTTCCAAAAGTTATCATTCCTTGYGGCCATGATGGCTACGAGAAAAGTAGATCGAGCRTCGGAGAGAAGGATATTGTACTTGGACGAAGGTACGCTGTAGAAATGTCGAAGATGCTTTGAAGACAGATTGGTGTATGATTTTGACTCGAAATTCACTCATTTCGTTTCCATTAATTTTCCCTCCWATTGTCGTGGACAGTGATTCAGTCCAGAATCGATCTGAGRACAATCGTTTTCGACGCATTGTCAATTTGTATAGGGATGAATACATTTCTTCCAATTCCGTAGAACGTGCTACGATAGTCTCGAAAGTAATTGCGCTGCTTGAGAAAGATAGTTATTCCTTCCTGAGATCTGGTTCCTTACGCACTCCATTTTCAAACCGCAATTCTTCCTACCCATCCTCATTGTGTGAYGGGTATGGTATTAATGAGGGTGACAGTAACGGCGGATTGGAGAGTGGAATGTTCATGGATGGTCAAATTAGGCAAATGGTGAGTACTTCATTCTCGAGGCTTGGTCGTCGGCGTTCTCGCAATGATTCCTCCGAATTCAAAGACGCAATAAGAMAACAGCAACGGCAAAYGATCGATGCAACTCTGAATCGCACCCCCAATACTCTGAAAGTCCCGGCACCTTTAGCAACGAAAGACAAAGTTTCATATTTGAAGGCTTCGACGCTCGGTGCCAACCAAAGCATTGCGCCACAGCAACAAGATGGTCCACAGGACGAATTGGTGCCTCCTCTTCGGGCATCCCGGGCGCCGGCACACTCTGAAACGAAACTTGCTGCGGATAAGGTACAAAAAGTTCGACCTTTCTCTTCAGCACACGAAAGCTGTCTCTTGCAGGAGTGTCAACCCAAGGTTCCAGCACCACGGCAGTGTGGTGGTGAATTGCGCGAGGATGGATTGCTATGGTCCAGTGGTTCTAGGACGCTATCCCTCCTTGAGGRCATGGACAGCACCCTCGTTCCGACGACGTCTTATTCTTTGCTACCCACGATCGAAGAAAACGTTTTTGGAACAAAGGCTCGCGCGGGACCAAATTCGGGATGCAGCGACGACGGTACCGGGCGGATGGAATTCGAGACGATTGGATACACCCACCAAAAGGTTGGCGAGTTGACAATCGTGCGTCCCATACTTTTGCTTCCGGGGGTTGTCGGAGGCGCTTCTTCCCCCGCCGTCACGAACGAAACGAACGCAGGATAGACACAACCGAAGAACAAGAACATCTCACGTTGGGAATTCTGATGCCTTCTCCACCTCGAACCTGTTGGTACTTAGCGACAAGGAGCACCCCGATGGATTGGATGAGAATCTTCATGAAATGGATGATGTAAACTCTGTTGTATCATCACCTACCATGTTGTTCCCCAGCCAATAGGAATGAATACTTCATACTGCTAATACTTATAAAACTTTCATACCAAGGTATCGCTTCTCGTGCCTTCTCAGTCGTGAACCTACTGGTACCAAACGACAGTGAGTACAATCCTGGAGAGAACGATATAAGTCAAATATTTGGTGTCTTCATCGCCGCCTACCGTAAGGTTCCGTAGCAAATAGAATTAAATGGTTATCAGTAKTTACAAGACCATCRGACGGCAAGCTCATCGAGATACATAGCTGCAAAAAGCAACGATACGATGCAAGCGGATCGAAGCCACGRACATCAAAAACTYTGGTTTCTTATTTTAGGTCGGGAGCGACCACGAATCTATGGATCGCGTGCTGCCCACCGAKCTCGCCAAAAGCATCCTCCGTGCGCTGCCACGAGGCGATTGCTACTTGAAGTGCTCTTTCCATATCTTGCCGAGCCGCCGCTGGTTCCAGTAGCCGTCCGTCGAGGTGAACCTCCCGGGCTKGATGCCGTGGACAGTCATGCCRTTGATCCCGCCCCAGGCAAGTCCCAGGTCGTACAGCGATGGGTTGTTGTTCACTAGGTCGATCAGGAGCCGCGCGGCCKYCWCGTCGATCGAGAACTCCTGCAGGTAGAGGCCCATCGAGAACCCGTAGTGYTTCTTGTAGTCCGCGAGGGTTCTCATGACCRCGCCCATGTCCGTCTCCTCCGAGGACGTYATGATGATCGYTTCGTTGTCGCCGTCCATTTCGCGCAGATTTTTGTTGCTGTCCTTGTCCTTGCTGCCGCTGCTGCCGATAAGGTTGTTGTAGGKAGTATTGTCGAAACACCCCGAAGTCTCCACTCCGCTGCACCCGTATCCGTAAGATTGGATCCGGTAGCCCTCTTCGATCACAMMGGGATCGAACGTGGTGTAGTATCCGCAAACGCACGCGTCGAAGAAGAAGCCAAGCAGCGATTTGATCATCGACGACCGGGCCGAATCCAGGATGAGGGAGCCTCCGTTGAAGAAAACGTGGTCCCCCGGCTGTACCAGGCCCTCGTCGCACGCCGCCTGGAGATCACCCGCCGAATGGACCATCAGAATCTCCTTCGTCGTGTTCGYGTYGGGATCGGCAATCCTGTAGGCGTTGTAGTAGTCGCTGGTGCAAACCCCCCGTATGTCCGATATCGCAAAGGACGCGATTCCCACCACCCGGATCCCGGCGGCCTTCAGGGACTGAACGATCAAACTCAGCACGCGTTTCGGTACGTGCCTGGACTTCAAATCCAGGAGTATCCCGATCGGTTGCTTGGTTTCGGTGATTCGTTCGATCAGTGCGACCGACTCCGAAATCGTCGTGTCCAGGCAGCACTTTGGGGAACAAGTGCAGTGAAACTGCCCGTCGTCTTCGGCTGGATCCTCCTTGTGTTCGGTGTAATTGGTGGGGGCGAGAAGCGGACCCTCCTCGAATTCGTCACGTTGCCTCAGTGGCAACAGAGCGGCGTTCTCGTCCACGGCGTCGTCGTCTTCGTCGTCGTAAAAGTTGTGGATGCCTCTGTCGATGTCGTGGTGTTGGGGACATTCGGAACAGTACGTKTTGTTSCCGCAGCTCGTCTCGGAGGGCTTCGGTTCCTCGGTTTGCTTCGCKTTCATCCCCAGGCGAAGAGATTCCGCAAACACGGCGATCCACTGGCGGGCGTACATGCCTCCCCCCAGGGTCCGTCTCGTCCGCTGGACCCGGGAGTAGTTCCAGTCCTTTAGGACTCCCGACTGTTCCATTATGAGCTGCAGAACGTTGCCGTGGGCAATGAGGAGGCGGTCGGTCAGCACCTGGGTCCGTCTCTTAAGTTCCTGCTCGAGGTATTGCAGCACCGGGTCGTCGCCGATCGGAACCTCCGTCTCGGAGGCATCGCTCGCTGCTTCGTTCGAGTCGGTATCTGGATCGAGGTTTCCGCAGTCCGCGGCCTCTCTTGCGGTGTGTCGAAAGCAATCGGAGTACGCTTTGGCGTCGYTGGAACAAAGATTSTTGGCAATSGCGTTCATTCGATTGTCCTGATCGGCAAGAAGCGCGGCGGCTTCCTGGTTGCCGTCGTCG